GAGCGCTCCCCGGCGGCCTGCCCCGCGGAAGCGAGCGGGCGTTTCCTCCCAGACGGGGATGCTCACGCGCCTCCGTCGCCGGCGCCCAAGGGGGACGGACGGGCAGGAAGGAGGGGCGTGTTGGAACGTTACCATTCGTGCTAGAAAGCAACGCCGAGCACAGATCTCGGAGCCACACGCAGCCGGGCTGCAGGGGCTGCAGGGTGCGGGGACTCGCAGCGGGGCCTCGGCCCGGACGCGGAAGGCAAGGAAAAGGGGAGCAGAGTGCCCGGAAGCCGGAGGCTCGTCGGGTTCCTTTTGTTGTTTGGGCAGAAATTTACTCTTACTGAAGAGTAGGTCGGCCGGCAACTTGTCTAGGGATGTCTTGGGGGTTTTCGTTTGCGGCTGTTCCAGCTGGGGAGGGGTCCAAACAGCAGCACCCCGCCGAGGAGAAGCGCCGTAGGGAAGGGAGTGGCACCTGCGGTCTCACCGTCAACGACTCGTTAGTGTTGGATGCCGGTCCAGCACGTGAGAATGTCACCCAGTGAAGCAGTGTTGAGGGCAGACACAATCGGAGGCTTGAAACAGGTCCATTTTCTCCTGAACATTGATGGTGAGAAGACAGAGAACCTTGAGTACAGGGACAGAGACCTACTCGTTGTGCCTCCCCGCCTCGGAAGCCCCTTCCAGCAGAAGCTAAAAACCCCAGATGGTTGCTTTCCCAGCCTTCCTAGTGGCTGCGGAGTGAACTTGGCCAGAGTTCAGGCCATTCGGCAAAATCGGGAGCCAGCAATTTCAGGGAAGCGAGAAGCCCAGGAGCCTGGTGTTCGCAGTGATGACGGCCGCAGCGACATGGAATTTCCAGAGGCGGGGGGGAGGCCCGGCTTCCCGGCTCTTCATCGGTTTGGGGCTGTGATACGTGTGCAGCTGTGGTTCTCGTTGCTCGCTTGTACCTGCTGTCCCTGGCGTTATGCCGCATTCTTTTTGGGAATTCTGTGAGCTCAGTTCTTTCAGCTTAGACCCAGCAGAGCGCATCTGTACTGTGTACAATTGTCTAAGACATGCTGTGCTTAAAATCTTCCTTTTAAAGACTGGAAGGAGTCTGGGTCAGCGAAAGAACAGGGTATGAAAAAACAGAAAATGAAAGACAGCAAAAATTCCATGATGCTACATTTTTAGAGTGTAGGAAGGTAACATGGTGGGATTTTCTCGTTTGGTTACTTTCCTGTGTGTTTGAATCCTTGTTGAGGGCCGGGTCTGGTCTATCCTGGACGGGAGGGAGGATGTGGAAACCAGACCCAGTGGAGGACTCCATGCCTCCTGAATTCCCCCGGAGACGCCTTTCTGAAACAAAGCAGTGGGGGCATTAGGTGGAGAGGCCTCTCGGAGCTGCTTAGCAGAGCCAAGGAGAGAGGCCTGGGACACTGCTGTGGTGATGATGGCAGGGGTGAGTTGGAGTTTAAGGGCAGGGAAAGGTGTGACATGACTCCAGGGCTCCTACGCTGGGAGGGCGTGTTTCCCTGAAGGCTGGTGCCACCCGGAGGGGTGTTAGTATCTGAACCAGATGAGTACCGGGGATGGAAGTGCTGGACCTGGCAGAGGTGTGGGTGCCAGAGCCCTTCCCTGGGGGTTGAGGGGGTCCCTGGGTCCCATTTACCACCGGGGACCGAGGTTTTTCACTTCTCTTGCCCACTTATCTCAGGAATATTGACCTTTGGTCTAGCAATGAAAGGAAAGGCAGGAGAATTGTGTCTGGTAGGTGTGAAACTAGTATTACTGAATAACATGTCAGAAAAACGAAACAGTACACTTTCAAGTGAAATACACACTTGACAAGTGGGAAGAAGTGAGACTGTCATACGATACTATGAAAACTCAGCCTCTCCTTTAGGACAGGTGGACGGCTTGTACTCCTCTTGCTGTTTAAAATGATGCCACTGAGAACATCTCGTGTACACGTTTCCTGCGCCTCTCGGATCACTTCCTTTTGATAGATTCCTTGAAATGCTTAAACCACAGTACTCTGCTTTTTAGACGCTTACAAAAAAGGAACCCTCATAAAAAAGAACCAAAACTTCTTTCCTAGAAAGTTGATTAAATCAAGGGGTCCACGTCATTGTGGCGCGTGAACTTGTGTGGTCTCAGTCACACTCACCAGCCACCATCTGTAACCCTGGGTCTGGGGCTGTGACTCAGGCCTGAGTGTGTCTGGGACACGGGAGGCGGTGAACCAGAGCCACCCGCTCACCTCGCAGACGTGGGCCGGGGCCTGGAGGCCTGGAGGGAGCAGTGGGCTGGGACCTTTGTCCTGGACGCTGCGTGGTCGTGGTCAGCATCCGTTAATCGAGGCCTCGCCTGTTCTTAACGACAGAAGTTTAGGACCAGGACGGAGACGCCAGGAGAGTCCACAGTGAACACGACTCCTGCTAGGAGCCTAAAATCAGCATCTTGCCGTCATTTTCTCCAGGTCAAGTCAGATAAAGCGCCTTGTTCATTTTCTTTTTTCTTGTAACTTTTACCTTTTCGAATCAACTTTATTAAGGTCAGTTTATGAAAGAGACATACACCATTTTGATATCTTGACGAATGTGAGGTGAGAGGAAGAGCAAATGGCGCTGGTGCTGCCCAGAGAGCCCCTGAAACAGCCAGGGTCCCCGGGGAGCAGGGCTCGTGCGCCTCTCAGCCTGGCTGGGACCCGAACTCTGACCGCCCAGCTTGGCACGGGCGTCCAGGGCATCTGCACAACGTTCCAGAGGCTCAAGACTCTCGTCGGCCCCTCGCCCTAAGCTGTGGCAGCCCGTCCTTTCTGGGTGAGTACTTCCTTTTTCCTGGTGCAGCCAGTTGTAATTCTTGACGGTTTTAACTGCCTCGTGGCATTTGCCCTCAAGGGCCCTGACGCCCTTCCCCAGAACACCTTCTGTTTTACCAAATCCGTGTCCCCTGAATTGCAGCTCTTATTAAAGACCCCAAGTAAGCTTGGTCCTAGTTTTAAAAATAGGTTATTAGTTTTCTTGTTATGAATTCTGAGTATTTTTATATATTCTGGGTACAGATGTTTTGATATGTTGTAAATAATGTTTCTCATTATGAGGCCTACCTTTTTATTTCTTAACAGTATCTTTTAAAAAGCAAGCTTTAAATGAAAATCCAATTCTCAGTATTTTTTATGCTTCATGCTTTTTGTGTCATAAGAAATTCTTTGCATATCCCAACATCATATTTTCTCCTGTTTTTTTTTCTAGGTTTATGGTTTTAGCTTCTACAATTAGGCCTGTGATCAAATTAAATTTTGCACATGGTGTGAGGTGAGAGTCAGTGTTCATCCCTCCCATATGGATAGCTACTTGGTGAAAAGACTTTTTCTCACCCATTAAATCACCTTGGCATCCTTGCTGGAAGTGGCTTGGCCCCGTGTGCGTGGGTGTATTTGGTGCCCGGTTCCATTCAGGTGATGTGCCTCGTATTTCAGCAGCACCGTGGTGTCTTCATCACTGTAGCCTTGAGATAAACCTTGAAACTCAGTAGAGTAAGTTCTCCAACTGCTCCTGTAAAAACTGCTACAGCCTTTTGGATTTCCATATGCATTTTAGACTCAGCTTATCATTTTTCTATTAAGGAGAAGAGCCTGCTGGAACTTGGGTGGATGCAGGAGAAAAGCGATGTCTTAGCAGTGTTGGGTCTTGCGCTGACGTGCGGCAGCTCTCCACTGATCTCAGTGTTCTTCCCATTTTTTATCAATGCGTCATGGTTTTCAGTGTTTGTCATTTTGTATAGTTTGTAATCTGTCTGTAGGTCGCACATTTGGGGACTCTGTTTCAGAGGGGCTTGTACTTTTAAATTTTATTTCCAGTTGTCTGTTGCTGGAACACAGAGGCGCGGTCGATCTTGTTTAGTGACCCTGCGTCTCCTGATGGTGCTGAGTTGGCTTCTTGGTTCTCGCCATGTATTTTGAAGATCTCTTCATGTGTTCTGCCGGTGTGATCGCGTCATGTGTGAATAAAGACTTTCTTGTGTCTTCACTCCCATCTGCACGCTTTTCCTTCCTTGTCTCGTCTCCCTGCAGCGCTGAGGCCTTTAGCACATCACGGAGGAAAGGTGGTGGCGCAGGCCCCTCGCCCCGGCCTCAGGGGGGAGCTCTCTGTCTGTCACCACTAGCATAACGTAGCTTAAATCCTTTGTAGGTGTCCTCTCTCAGGTCAAGGAAGGTCCCTTCTCTCTGGTTTGCTCAGAGTTGCTTTTAAAATGAACAACGGGTGTTGAATTTCATCAGAGGCTTCTTAATCTATTGAGGTGATTATATGTTTCTCCTTTCTTCTTTTCTTTGCTAGATTTTCAGATGTTAAACCAATCCTGTGTTCTTGAGGAAAACTTCACTTGGTTTTGGCATATTATTAGTTTTTGTATATGTATATTTTTTATTGAAGTATAGTCGGTTTATAATGTCAGTCTCTGGTTTACAGCACAGTAGCTCAGTCATGCACATACGCACATACTCGGTTTCACATTCGTTTCCAGGCTTGGTATATTACTGATTTTTGATGTTGTTGGATTCACATTGCTAAGACCTGGTTACAGGATACTGGTCTGTATTTTCTTGTGGTAGTTTTGGCTGATGTTTGCGTCAGGGTAACGCTGGACTCGTGATACTGGATGTGAGGTAGTCCGCCCTCTGTTTCTGAACGTCTGTGTGAGAAACCACTACGCAGAATTCACCAGTAGTGCCTCTGGCCCTGGACCTCCCTGTGTGGGATTTACAATTGCAGGCTCAGTTTTCTCAATAGAGAGCTATTTATGTTTTCTATTTCTTCTTGTTTCCATTTTGATAATTTGTGAATTTTGTGGCACTTGACTGATCTAAGCTGTAGGATTTATTGGCATAAACTGACTCAGCGTTCCCGCCGTGGGGCCTGCCATCATGCCCTCTCCTGACGCTGGTGAGTCTCCTCGCCCCCCTTCGTCTCACTAGCAGTTCACCAGTTTTGTCGCTCTTCTCAAATAAACAGCTTCTGGTTTCGCTGATTTCTGTTTCTTTGATTTCTACTTTTACCTTTATTATTTTCCTCCATCTGTTTACTTTGGATTTAAATTGCACTTTTTCTAGCTTTTTGAGGTGGAGGCTTAGATCACTGCATTTAAAACGGCCATCTTTCCAAATGTAAGCATCTGGAGCCATAAGGACCTATGCACTTCTTCTGCTACGCTGTTTTCCTGTTCATTGAATTCAAAACACTTTCTAATTTTCCTTGTGATTTTTCTTGGCCTCAGAGGTTGTTTATTTAAAAGTGGGTTATTTATATTATCTGTGTTAGAATCACTGGGTCACTTACTTAGAAGTGTATCGCTTAATTTCCAGACATTCGGTGATTTACCAGTTACCTGCTACATCTCTACTGTCCTTGTGATTGGAGGCCAGGGTCTGTGCAGCTCAGTCCTCTTAAGTGCGGGAGGCGTGTTTCGCGACCCGTGTGCTTCCCTTGGTGCGTGTTGCGGGGGCCGGGCCCGCTCTCTGTAGTCAGTGGTGGGTGAGGGCCGCGCCTGCCCGTTCCCCTGTCTGCACGTCACCCGGGGAACAGTGCTGAGACCTGCGACCGCAGCTCCAGGCTGGTCGGCTTCTCCTGACGCTCTTTTCGTCTCTCCCAGTTTTGCGTCGTGTGTTTTGAAGCCCTGTGACGAGGGCTCTGCACGTTTAGGGTTGGATCTGAGGAATCCCTCTTTCATCTTCATGAGTGTCCTCCTCACCTCTGCAGACACTCCTTGTCCTTAGGTCCGTGTGACACTAACGCAGCCACTGCAGCTTTCTGAGCATGTGATTTCTTACAATTAGTTTTCACAGTAAATCTTTTTTCATCTTTTCTTTTAAACCCATCTGTGTTTTCACATGTGGAATGCCTTCCTTGGAGACAGTGTATATACCTGGGTCTTAATTTTCCATCCAGTGTTTAATCATTTTATTTCTGTCCTTTACTCCCACTCCCCCGCTTTCCTGCCCGCTTCTGGCAGACTTTAAGATTTATCTATACGAATGCGGTCCTTCCTCCCCAGGAAAGGCCTTGCGTGTCCAGGTGCTGGCGTCTGGCACACTGTAGCCGTGTGTGGCACTGGGGTTCGTACCTTCATATTAACTCAGAACCGCCCCACGGCTCCCTGGCGTTACTGTCTCCTTTTGAAAGATAAGAAAACCCAGGCTTAGAGAAGGTAACTTTCTTAAGGGTGTCCAGGTAGTGACCGAGCCAGGCTCTGACCCCTGGGCCATCTGACCTCAAAGCTCCAGCCCTTCACCTTTTCTGTCTGCTGACTCTGGACGCCGTGTCCACTTCAAGATGCAACACTGTCCACATTTGATTAGCAGTTGACCTTGATTCTTACGTGTGATCTTGATAATAGGGACCCAAGGACCCCCCTCAGCTGTCTACCTACATCCACACCTGTCTACGCACTGACCCCTGCCTGTGCAAGAAGAGGTACACGTGCACACACACCAGTACACTCACCCCCCCCCCGCATAAGCACGTGCGCACACCAGTACCATGTACCCCACTAGCCAAGGGGCCCAGGGGCACGAGACTGCCCACCACTGACTCTAGGGAGAGCCTGAAGACACTGCCGCCTGTGGCGAAGATGAATGGCTTTCCCGTAAAGTGTTGTTGAAAAGTGATGAGGACCCTGCAGCGGTGACTGCGTGCGGCTCACAGAGCAAGAGATGTTTCCTGTGGCTCTTTGCAGAAAGTTGTACAACCCTGCCCTGGACATGAAGAGAGAGAAAAGAACTTTAAAATTTGGACCAGTGCCCTCAGAATTTCAAGAAGATACTGTAGCCAAAGAAACCAAGAGAAAACACGACAGTCTTCTGTTAAAGTCGGGTGATCAGAAAACGGAATGACAGCCTGGCACAGGCCGCTGGCTGCTGGAAGAGCTGACCAGGACCGGAGGGGCCGTGGGGGCCGCGGGCTCTCCTGCAGGCTCTCCTGGCCTGTTTGCTTCCTCTGAAAGAAAGTGGGAGCAGGAACGTGGGAGGGAAGATGCGCTGGAGGAGGCGAGTGAGAACACCCCCGAAGCGCAACAGGAGGGGTCACGCGTCTCGGGGGGGTTCCGCCAAGTCCCGCCAGGACAGAGGGAAGTGGGCCCAGACGCGGTCAGGAAAGACAGAAACCCGGGACTAGGTTTCAGAATTGTCGTGGGGGGAGAAAAGCAAGTTAGTTACAAAACGGCCTCAGCCTTGGGCGCTGGAAACGCGAGGACCACACGGGAGGACTGCAGAGCCCTGGGGAGAGACTTCGAACCTAGAATTTTACCGCAGCCAGACTGCCGAGCGCAGGTGCAAACGTAAAGGCGTAAGTCAGACAAGCAGGGATTCAGGACGTTTTCCTCCCGTGCGCTCTTGCTGAGAAAGTCATTTCAGGGTCACTGCGGGCAGAGTAGGGAAGGGCAGGCTGGGGTTGAGCAGGAGCGGGCGGAGCGGGAGAGAGAGACGCCCGGGCCGCAGCCGGGTGCGGGGCAGGCGGAGGGTCTGAGGAGAAGGTCTTTGGGAAGAAATCAGATTGGAGCAGTTCAGTGGAATTGCTGATCTTAGTAACAAGACAGAGGCATTTGTTTCTTCTGTCAACAGCAGGAAATTAAAGTTGCTGTTTTTAAAATTTGTATTTAAAAATGTCCAGGGAAGACGAGCCGCGCAAGGATACACAGCCCGGCTGTGAAGCTTGTTAAAACACGTGTGTTTTCGGCATCTGGGCCGCACTGTCCAGAGGCAGGCTTCACCTCCGGGCTGCGCACACCCTGTGGTCCCAGGCGAGTCAGCAGGGAACCATCAGTGCCATTTCTGAGTTTCTGACTTTCAAACAAAACACGCAGAGTTTCATTAGTAATGTGAACACATAAATTATAATCCGACAAAAGCTATCAAACTGGAAGAAGGGGAGAGTAGTGGGGGAAAGTATGGGCCTTGACTTCCTCATTTTCACCGAAGGAGGTCAGTAATCTTGAGAAACAGTAAATTCATGGGCTGAGAAAATGGAGGTTTCAATCCATGATTCCCAGCAGAGGTGAATCTAAAGGAACAGAGTGACCAGCTGACCAGGTTGGGGTGCGGCTTCTCCGGGGGAGGGGCCGGGCGCTGCAGCGCAGGGGACATGGGGCCATTTTGGTTTTTTATTTTAACAACTTGTGGTTAGTTTTATTTGTAAACGTGACAGAAGGGCATGTGATGAAGCCTCCCTCAGCCCTGTTCCCAGCCATCGGAAGTCCACCCTGGAGGGGCAGCTTTGGTTACACACGCGTGTGCACACGCGCACACACGCAGTGGCAGTGCTGTGCACCTGACACCATCTGCCCCCTGTTCTCCCATGTCCCGAGGGTCCCCAGGGGTCGTGATGCTCGATCTCCCTCTGGGGGAGCCTGGGGCAGCACCGCACTCGCTGGGACCGCGGCACCCAGCCAGGCCTGTCACCGCACGTTGGGCATCTCCCACGTGTGCTGTCGCAGCCCTGAAGTCACCCGCACGAGCACGGTGTGTCACGGGGCACTGCCTGCAGGTGGACTCCGGTGGCTCAATGACAATGGGCATCTTCAAATGCTACGCTCACAAGTTTATGTGAGACCACTGTCCCATGTCATGACTGGTCCACGTCCCCAGAGCCCCCTGTCTGACCCCTGTGCTCTGCGAGCCCCGTGCTCTGCATCCTCGGGAGCCCAACACCCTGTGTCCTGCCCCTGCGACCTGGTCTCCCTCCTCTCCATCCTGAGCCCTTTCTACCGACCCCTGGACCTGCCATCTTGTCAGTCAAACCCCCATCTCCTTCCCGACAAACAGGATTCCTCTTCTGGGCAGAGCGGGACCCGGGCCAAGCCCATCGGAGGGTCACTTCTCCCCTCGCTGCCCTGGAGGTGTTGGCCAGCAGGGCGACAGCTCCTCCACATCCGTGGTCACCCGGAACCTGGCCCCAGGGCCCTGCCCTCCCTGCAGCTGGCACGCAGGGCTGCCCCGCACACTCAGCCCTCCACCTGATGGATGCCCGCCTGTGCCCCGTCCCCGTGGCAGTGCCCCTCCTCCGGTCCACGTCTCCTTCCTGGACCCTGCGGGCTGGCCGCACTCACCGGGCCACTTCCGCTGCTCTGGCGGTGAACAGGAGCACAGCCAGTTGGCCCACTTGCACTTCTGTGCACATGAAATACGTGGTGGTATTTCTACCCCCAAATTTGCCAGTTTTTCAACTCTTCCCTGTGTCAATTTTTAAGAATGTCATCTCATTGTTTTTAGGAAAGCGGATCTTCATTCATCAGACGTCTTTCCATCAAACAAAGCATGCCTCGTGTTTTCTTCTATTTATGGTTTCGTTTTTCACACGTAAATTTTTGACACCTTGGAACTTATTTTAGTGTAAAAAATTAGTATAATCTAACTTTGCTTTTCTCAAGCTGGTAACGCGAGTTTTTCCAGCATGCCTTGCTGCGGAGTCTCCCTTTCCGACAACGCCCCACCCCCGGCCGTGTGCCTGGCCTCCTCCAGGACCCCATTCTGTCCGGGTCACCTGTGTGCTATCCCCAGAGGTTTACAACAGCCTGTCGCTCTTCTTGCCCATTTGCTTTTGTATTTTAACTTCAGAGTCCTCTTGTCTGTGTTCCCAAGTCTGGGGTGGGGGGCGGCGGCAGCTCAGCACGCTGCAAGGACAAAGCAGGACGGCCTGTGCCTGTCACATATTCACGTTTCTTCCTGTTTCTAAGTCATTCAAAAAGTATTTTTCCTGTATTTTGTTACTAAGTATTTCATCAATTTTTTGTTGCCACTGGAAAAGTGACCTGTTACATTTTGAATCTCCTGTTGCTTTTATGTCATTAAAAACTTACTGAATTCTTTTCTTCGGTCACAGCTTTCAGTTGCTTCTCCTGGATTTTCTGGGCATACGATCACTATCCGTAAATCATTTCCCTTCTTCCTTCAAGTTTAACAGCCTTTTGTCGTAACTGCCTGACCCTTTCCAGTCACTTCCTCTTCTCTGCTTGTTTTACCACATTACCCTTTAACCATGTAAACCAGTAAATGAAGCTGATAAGCAAGGACGGACAGAAGCGTGGGGTCAGAGGCCGGTCTGCCGAGGTCCTGCGGGTGGGCTCTGTGGCGAGGAGCACAGGAAGGGTGTCTGCCTGCTTCTGTCTGCTGTCCTGGGGGCAGTGCGAGGGGCTGAAGGGTTAGCACTTGGCATGCCACACTTTTATCAATGTAAGTTTAAGGCCAATTAAACTAATTTTATTCCGAGTAAGTCTACATTAAATTACAGTATTAACACTCTAGAGACAATGAACTTAAAAGTATAGGAAGTAGAAATCTATTTGGTCTTTTATCGGCCATGTATTATAGAACTCACAAACGAAGATTTACAAATATAGAAATAATGATACTTAAAGAGAGGATTTTCAAATGGAAACGCATAAGGTGTCATATTTTAAACACGCATGTTTCAAAAAGGGAGAACCTTTTAATAATTTAGCACAAAAATCAAATTATATAAACTTGGTATATTCCAGAAAATATTGCTTTCAACACTTACACCATGATCAAAATTCCTTTGGTAGCTTTTAATCAAAATGAAACATGCTCTTCTGTAAAATATAAAGTACTTTAAATGTTATCACAAAAGTTCTTTGTTACAGTTGCCACGCAATCACGCCATTGCCCGGCCTCACCTGCGCACACACAACAGGAAGCCAGGTGCCAAGAGCCCTCTCGGCCTCCCGACAGAAGCAGCCCTGCTTCACAACATCAGGGGACTGACTGTTCACAGCAGCTCCAGCAGGGAGGAGCCCCCACCCTGCTGGGACGGTGACAGCGAAACCAAACTTTATTGCTGCAATCATACAAATACTGCGATTAGAGAACAATCAAGCAGCAGTTACCCCAATGCAAGAAACAGGGTCTGCCAGACCCAATCTTGGAACGGCAAACAGACTCCCTGCCCCCAAGCCCGCAACAGAAAACCCACAAGTAACGCAGCGGGAAGCCGCTGCCGCCGGGGTCCCCGGCACCAGGCCTCAGGCATGACGTCCCCTCAGCACTTCAGAGATCTCACTGAGGAACCTCGTCATGCAAAACCAGGCGTCCAAGAGAAAACTTTGTGGAAGTAAGTGGAGCAGACAGACGCTAGTTTTAGGCTGCATAATCGGTCAGCCGGTTTTTAACACTGGCTGCTGCTTCCTAACATTCACCAGCCGGGGTCTCGTCTTCAGCCTGACTGCTGACAAGCTAAGACAGCACGTCTGCAGGGACTTGTCATCTGTGCGGCTAAAGGACGCAGCGGGGAGGGTCTGTAAACTGTGCATTCATGATCACACACAAAAACACACCAGACTTTCAGCTTTTTGCCATAAGAACACCACCGTACAAAGGAGCCCTTTTAACCAACATCTCGTCCAACCTCAAAGTCACTCTGCAGAGCAATGGAAACCACTTAACACCTAAAAGAACAAGAGGAAGAAGTGGAGGGGAAGGTGCCCGTGCTGTCTGCAAACCCTCAAGCCCGTGAGGCCTCCAGGAGCCACCCTCTCCTCCAGTCCAGAGCATCCCTGCTGCTCAGCCCCAGGAAGTCCGGAAACAGCATTTCTGCCCTGAAGATACATTCTAGTGTCTCACGGAGGAGACAGCCGTGAGCCTCAGGCCACGTAGTGGTACTGGTTCGGGCTGTCTTTGTCTCTCTCCATGTAGTCTCTGTCTATGAGAGATTCAATTCTCTTTTTCAAATCTCCAGGCTGGAAAAGAAAAACAGACAGTGGCATTGATAGTGACATCACACGGTGTATGACAGCAGCGCTGCATTTACAAACTCGAGGGAAGAAACATGTCATGCACCCGGTGTGGGGCCATCATCACACACAGGCATGACACACGTCAGCCTATATGTCTGTATGGAAATTACTCATACGACATGGTGATCAAAGGGCTTCCACATGAACGCACACCTGAGCAGGGCCTCCCGCGGGACGTGGCGCAGGTGAGAGGAGCACACGGCCTGGCAGAGCCCACCTGGCGACATGGGAGCGCACGTGTCTGGGAGGGAATCTGAGCGCGTCTCCCCGCGTGCTGCACCACACTGCCATCCATTTAGCACACATGCCCCGTTTACACAGCACGATGTCCACAGGCCTGGGCCTAACCCTGCTAGAAGCGAGTCTGAATCCACGCGTCCACACACATCTGCGGGGAGACAGTGCCCCCTTCTGCCCGGGCCCCTGTCAGCGCAGAATAGGTGCCGCGGGGGCCGCACGGCTAACCCGATCAGCCTGCGGCCTGACTGCTGAGTCTCTCTCACTGCAAAGGGCAAAACCAACACCCGCCCGCTGCTGGTCGGAGAGGAGGGCCGGTTGCATGACCAGGGGCTGTGTGGAGCTCCATGCAACACTTGTCACCTCGGGGGGACAGGAGCTCCCGCCAGCTCCCCACAGTGCCCACCCCCTGGTCCCCGACTTGAGGAGCTGGAGTCGGAGCATGCCCCCCCGCCAGAAGCATGAGCGGGGGCTCGGGGGTGACGGCCCGGCCCCCGATGGTGCCCAGTCTGAGTGCTGACCTTACCTGGCCCCACAGGCGGCCAGAACGCCGCTGCCTGGGAACTGCACCCCCGTCAGTTTTGGGGCAACTTCCTTACACAGCAGCCGCAGGAAACATCAGCGAGGCAGGAAAAGCTCTATGGCCAGTAAACCGGCTGTTCGTGCGCTCCCTGCGCGGCGCCGGCCTCCCCTCCCGAAGACCCAGCAGAGACGGACACGATCATCCAGTGTCCAGTGTCCAGTGCTCTACAACTAATCAAGCCACACACCCACCTTCACAGGGAATTTCAGCTGATTGTACAGTTCGGAAACCAGGAGATTGTGCCCCAGAGTTTTCCTCATCTTCATTATCCTGACAATGGCCGCGTCAACCTGGTACTGCCGGTCCTGGAACACCCGCTCCGTGGTGCTGACCTGCTCCTCCACCTGCATGACAGGAGGCTGGGGCTGGGTAGGGCTCAGGGCCAGTTATCTCCCCCGTGGAGTCTAATGGGAAACTTCTGATGAAACAAAGGCCAAACTGTGGACGAGCCCTGTTCTGTTATGCAGTCTTATTTGTTCTAGTAGAAACTGATTGATTTCAGCACCAAAACTGGAAAAAGGATTTAAAAAGCTACTGAAAAAAAAAAGCTGCAAACGCCCTACATAAACCGCACATAATCCCGATTAAACCCGGGGCTCAGGGATGAGAACAGCCGTCAACTTTACTCCAGAAACCCCTGCTCTGCACAGGGCACCTGCGCCACACTGGGCTCACCACCAGACTCCGAGCGCAGCGCCACAGGCCCGGTCATCCTGGCAGGCGCGGCGAAGGCGGGACAAAACGGAAAACCGGTGCTCGATTTAGAACAAACTCTAGCCTGCAGGGAGTCAGTAACGTGACACGGAGCTGTTCTCAGAAGCAAGCAGGAAACCCTGGTAACAGCCTTCGGTCAGCAGCCTGACAGGGCTGCAGAGCCCAGCGGGCAGCAGGCATGTTCGTGGCGAGAGGCGGGGACCTGAGCTTGCGTCCTATTTTCAGAGGGACCCACGACCCGAAAGGGCTGCTGTCCCTGCACCACAGAGAGGATCAGGAAGAGGAGGGGTCTGGCAGCTCTGCCACTTCTCAAACGTGCTCCAGAGGCCCCAGCTGGGCAGCAGTGGGGCAGATGCACCATCACTACCTGCCGGTGAGCTGCGAAACCCAAATCCAAGAGAATCAACTGAAGAACTAACAAAGCCAGTGGGAATCCTGCGAGCTGGCTGACACAAGATGAAACACAAAGATGAGCAGGTGGAAAGAGAAGACACCCCCCCCCCACCGTGCCGGCACTTCTCTGGCTTTTCCTGCTTTTCCAAATCCTGCTCAGGTCTGACCAGCCTCACGTGACCTCCTGGGGCCTGAGTGGCTGGGCGCCCCCTGGGGAGAAGGCCCCGTCATCACTGTGACCTCAGCTGTGACAAGACTGCATGTGTGGTCCCCCAGCACCCGCCTGCTGGATGAGACTGAAAGCCACCTGGGACAGAGACCGAGCCTTTACTGGTAGAGGCTGAATTCTCAGTGCTTCACCCAGACCGTGGCAGGTGCCTAGCAGGTATCTGTTAAACTAATATGACATGTGCAAGACTCACAGCAAAAAGGAAACTGCGAGGAAGAGAAGGGACTCATCCGTACTCACGTACACACACACACACAAGAATCAGAAGATTCAGTGTAAAAAGATGAAAACTGCAGGTGAATTCAGTGTGCTCTGAATGAGAAGCATCCATGTTCTGATTTGGAGGGGCAAAGACACAAAAATTATTCTCAAGTTCACTAAGAGAATAAATTTACAGGGACAAGCATATTAAAACACTTTTGGTGCTGCCATACACAAAAATAAACTCAAAATGGATTAAAGACCTAAATATAAGACAAGACACAATAAACCTCCTCGAAAAATAGGCAAAACATTACCGAACATAAATCTCAGCAATGCTCTCCTAGGGCAGTCTACCTGATAAACAGAAATAAAAGCAAGAATAAACAAATGGGACCTAATGAAACTTACAAGCTTCTGCACAGCAAAGGACACCACAAGCAAAACAAAACGACAACCTACAGAATGGGAGAAAGTTTTTGCAAATGAAACCGACAAAGGCTTGATCTCCAGAATATATAAGCAGCTCATACGACTCAAAAAGAAAAAAACAAACAACCCAATCTAAAAATGGGCAGAAGACCTTAACAAGCAATTCTTCAAGGAAGAAATGCAAATGACCAATAGGCACACGAAACAATGCTCAATATCACTAATTATCAGAGAAATGCAAATCAATACTTCAATGAGGTATCATCTCACACCAGTCAGAATGGTCATCATTTGAAAGTCCACAAGTGACAAATGCTGGAGAGGGTGTGGAGAAAAGGGAACCCTCCTACACTGCTGGTGGGAATGCAGTTTGGTGCAGCCACTGTGGAAAACAGTATGGAGATTCCTCAAAAGACTATATGACCCAGGAATCCTGCTCCTGGGCATATGCCCAGAAGGAACCCTACTTCAGGATGACACCTGCACCCCAGTGTTCATAGCAGCACTATGTACAATAGCCAAAACATGGAAACAGCCTAAATGTCCATCAACAGATGACTGGATAAAGAAGCTGTGGTATATTTATACAATGGAATACTATTCAGCCATAAAAATCGACAACATAACGCCATTTGCAGCAACATGGATGCTCCTGGAGAATGCCATTCTAAGCGAAGTAAGCCAGAAAGAGAAAGAAAAATACCCTATGAGATTGCTCATATGTGGAATCTAAAAAAAAAAAGAAGACAAATGAACTTAAACATTAAACAGAAACAGACTCACATACATAGAATACAGACTTGTGGTTGTCAGGGGGGAGGGGGGTGGGAAGGGACAGACTGGGAGTTTGAAATGCTGACAGTTATATACAGAACAGATAAACAAGATTATACTGTACAGCACAGGGAAATGAATACAAGATCTTGTGGTAGCTCACAGCCAAAAAGAATGCAACTATGAATATATGTATGTTCACGTGTGACTGAAAAATTGTGCTGTACGCCAGAAATTGACACAGCATTGTAAACTGACTATAACTCAATTAAAAAAAAAGAGAGAGACACTTTTGGTGCTGGCCAAGAACAGGTGGAGAACTTAGAGAGCAGAGGTGAGAAGCAGGTCCACAGAATGCGAACCTGGTTGTCGGGATGGTGTTTTCAGCTCAGTTTTTAAAGCAGGGAGGGTGGCTAGAATGCTTTCTGATACTAAAATGGTTTCTACGTTGCTCAGAGAAATATTTCAATGTATAAGCTGCTAGAAAAATAGAGGCAGCTATTTTTAAAAATTTGGGTTAGAGGAAGGTCTTTCTTGGGATGGCCCCAAAGTCAGAAACCGTACAGGAAAAGACTGTTTTCCACTATGTTTGTATGGGAAAAACCCCCTCAAAGGGACAAAAATCATCCGTCACAAATGACAAGGGGCCCATCCCCTCAACCCAAGAACACTGTCAAGTCAGAGGGGGCAGCACGACACAGGGACCAGAGACTCAACCAGCAGTCACTTCGGGGGAGGAAAACACAAAGGGCCGACTGCTGAGAGCAGGACCTCGGGGCCAAGACGCAGAGGGAAATACTCCCGTCTCCGGCTCACGCCCAGGGCAGGGTTACGCCGTGTTGGAACCACGGAGAACTAAGGACCAGCGAGGTGGCCTGATCTGTACAAGCTACTGAATGGCATGCAGATGCTCGAAGGAGCCAAACAAAGTCACCCCCAAACGGCGACAACTGTTTCTGAGCTGGTGACAAGGGAGGCAGGCAGGTCAGAACCCCGTGAGGCCAAGAGCGCAGACACGGTCTGTGAGCCAGCGATTCCAGGGCCAGGGTTCACACTCAGGAGACCACTAAGCAGGCACAGGAGCGTCCGTACGGGACGGAGCAGAACCGTTTCTGGAAATGGAAACACCCTACTGCCTTTCAGCGAGGGAGGGCGCTGCCAGGCTCTGCGGTGAGCGCCAGAGTGCCGGGAGCAAGTCACACGTCCATTACTCTGATGGTTAACACCAGGTCCTGACGAGGAAAGAGGCCCAGGAGAGACAGGAACTGCTTACAAAACGGTACAATCAGGGCGCGCGGTGACCCCGTCACACGTGACACCATGGACAAGAGCCGCCCAAGTGCAGACAAGTGGCGGGAGAGGCCGCCGCCGGAGGAGGGGGACAGCCCCGCTCTGGGGTGACAGCTCCACAACTCACATCCTTCAGTCACTCTGGCCTAAGCTCCCAACAGTAAGACAGACAGAGCAAAGCACACATGGGTTTACACCTTTAACAGGTACGTCTAATTTCTCACTAAGAAAGCTGTACCAATCCACACATCAAAACAAAAAAACAAAAAGGATGCCTGTTTTCTCATATTCTTGCCAACTCTGGTCATTATCGAACTCGTAAATGTTTCCCGCACTGACAGATGGAAACTGAAACATTAATCTAAGTTGAATCAAGTTACCAAGGAGAGCAGACGCCTCCCACGTGCTCACCAGGCTTCTGGGCTTCTCTTTGCCTAAACTGAGTGCGCTTTCTGACCGGGCTCTGCCGAGTGTGAGCACGTGCGGGAGGGGAAGCCGGCACCCTGCACTGCCGCGGGTCTGACGGCACTGCGGACACCACCGCAGCCGGACGAGGGCTGCCCTGGCCTCCCCTGCCTGCACGCATGGGGCAGCGGCCCCACCTGCTCTGGAGGCGGGACCAGGGCAGCCTGCCCCGACCTGGATGTCTGACCAAAGCCCCGAGCCTCCGGGCTCCTGTGTCAGTAAGAGCCCAAGGGCAGTGGTCCAGAGCCTGCCCTGGACATGGGCCACTGGAGACTCAGATCGAAGCTACAGACGCCCCACCTGGACTCGACCAGATTGACGCGCCTGACGCGCGCTGTGCACGAGGGTTTGAGAATGGCACGCCTGCTGCCCAGTGCAACTCTGACCAGGAAGAGCTGAATCATCACGTGTCTCTGTGAAGGGGGTCAGGGGCTGCGAGACGCTCTTCTCCCCGATTCTCTCCCCACTGAGTGCAAAGCTAGCGAACGTCACGCTGCTGCATGCTCTGCGGCCGGCGCGTAAGGGGGCCGACATCAGCGGCCCCCTGGGGGCCCCCGTGCTTCAGAGAACGGTCATACGCACGGTTTCCTTCATCTGGATCTGGTTGATCTTTATGCGAAACAACTTGTGCTTGAAGTCGCCATTAAAAATGAACCTGTCCCCGTCCTCCACCTCCTTCCCTTTGGGGCTTTTGACCAGCACTCGTGCTTTGCCACAGGCCAGGGACTGCAGCGTCCTCCGCAGCTCGCCGTCCTCTGGGAGGGAGGGAAGGTGGGATCGGTCAGCGCGAAGGCTGGCGCACCACCCCGAGCGGCCAGCCTCTCAAGCCAGCCCAGCGGAGGCCAGTCTGCGTCCTGCCTGACGCGCGAGGTCTTCGTACCTATGCCCGTGGCCACTCTGATGTCTTCAAAGCTGAATCCGTCCCCCTCGTTGAACATGAGAAGCACCAGTGTCTGGAAGAGCGACACCTGGAACTCCTTCTTCCCCTTGAAGAGAATGGGCGTGTCACAGGGGTTTCGACCACTGTGCAAAGCCTAAAGGGGCTGCTGTTTGCTCCCAAGCTTTGTGTGGGGGTCGTGGTGAGAAATTACTGATCACACACCAAGAAGAAGAAGTTAAGTGACTAATTATACACGAATAAAACGATTCAGAGTACGTCTATTCTCTTGAGTATTTTCAGAAGTAGCAAGAAAGCTCTTGTTTACTGGTGCCATTTTCCCAACAGCATCCGCCTCCTTTGTACCTGTGACGCAGGTGGCACCGTCACAGCATTTAAGACCCCCTCCCCAGAGAAGACTGGGACTGGCTGAGGCTCAGACAATGGTCAGCGTTTTCCACCAATGAAGCGTGTTTAGATTAAGGTCCAGCCGCCTCCTTGGACGTGACGGTCCCGCACACTGAAGTGCTCTGCCTGGCAGCTCCAGCGAACCCACGCCCAGCCGCCGTGCCCCGCTGACCCGCCTGCAGGGACGCCCCGGGGCCACGAGGGCAAAGCGGGCGGGGACCTGGAGCCTCCAGGACGGGGCCGAGGAACTGGGCTCTCCCAGGACCTTCCAGGGCAGCGTGCAGTGTGCGTGGTTTACGTGTACAGCCCTGCACAACAGCACACAACAGAGTGTGCACGTGTAATGTAAGTGTGATTGTTCATGTGCACGGAGAACTTATATGAAAACGTAAAGCTAAGGAAGTGTAACGGCAAAACAGTAATTTTCTAATTTCTTGGCTTAGTGGACATCATTGAATTTTGCTTATAAAACTGAAGTGAAATACATCTCATTAAGACTAACTCCCAGAACTGGAGCCACTGCAACAAGGCAGCTGCCTTCAGAGGTTCTGTGACACGGCGTCAAACTGCCCGTCCAGCAGTCGGTGGGAGCTGCCGTTCCTTTTATTTTCATTTGGTCTTTACCCATGTGTAAGCCACAAAGGGGCATTTTGTTGCCTGCTAACCTGTAATCCTGGGAGCGGCAGAGAAGTGGGACGGCTCCCACGGACACCGAGGCTTTTATGAGTCGCCTCTCCACACCTTCGCTCCTTTTTAATTAGGGGAATGCTCTTCTAGGCTCTTGATTGTTATTGGCCGGAATAGTCATCCTTCAGCTGTTTAATTTCACTGGCCTTCGAAAAGCCACTGTTGAATTACACTGAATAATCTTTTCCTTTGTCCCCAGAGTTCAATCACTATTAAAAAAAATTCTATCAATGTACTATGAAGAATAAAAAAGTAAATGAAATAGACAAAGAACTTACTTCTTTAAACTCTGCTTTTAACACAGCGTGCCCCAACGTAGTTTGCCACTGAAGTTTTCGACCACTGTGCTTCCCAAGGTAAAATGCCTTGAACACCTCTTGAAGTTTAACCATCTGACAAGTAGAGGAAAACAACGCATTTAATTATGCTAAACACCCTTAATCGAAAGAACTGCATAACTGCATACCGTTCAGTTTACACAGTTTTACAACATTCCACAGCTAAATGAAGTCAGCTCTACGTTGTGACAGTTGCCCCAACCTGCTCCCGGGCCTCGTGGGGCCGTGAGGATGGCGCCTGCCCGAGGATGGGACCTGGCGTTTTCGGGAGGACTTCTTACGCCGTCCAGAGTCTGCTGGTCCCAGGCTGTGACCTCCCTTCTCAGCCTGAGCCGCCCGGCTCCCCTGCCTCCCCTGGCCTCTCACGTCCCTCTACTCCACACCAGGAGGGCCAATGGTCAGTGCTGCCCAGCCCCACAGGCTCCCACCAGGCTCCATCTGGTGAGATGGTTGCTCTCAACAGCACCCCAGGCCGCAGCCCCCCTCCCACTCCAGGCATCTGGGACACTCAGGATAGGAGGTCCCCATCTGTCTGGCGCCCACACCTTCTGAGTCTTCTGGTTTGTCTTCCCACCCACCCCACACGCTCGAGCTGGGGCCCTGCACTCCAGCCGGCCCCCTCCTGCTCCACTCTGCTCCTTCCCGTCAGGGTTGCTGGCTGCCTCACGGTTCTGGGGTGAAGAGTCCGAGTCTCCATGACTGGCCGGGAGCCCCTGTGCCCGCCCCCCCCCGCTGCACCTTCTTGCCTCGCCCCTGCCCCAATCCAGGGCAAAAATCAGTCACTTTGAAACGCTGCTTTTCAGAGACTAAAGGACCATTTACAGTTTTGATTGAGTGGGTTGACTTGGAAGCTTCTTAAAAGAGAACACGCCTGCTGGGTGCGCAGTGACCGGGCTGCGGTGTTCCAGCAGCGCGGGCACATTACAGGGAGGGGCAGACGTGCAGCACCTACTTCGGGAGTCAGGTGCACGTCCATGGGTGTGTAGGTCGGCCAGTACCCCATCGTGAGGATGTTAACTGTCAGCTCTATGGAGCCCGGCTCGCTCTGATTCTGCATGTACTGAAAACCAAGAAAACGGGACAAAATGAGGACTTCAGACTATCACCAGAAATAATTAATCCATTAAAAAGCACACTGTGTAGTTTTCAAAGGACAGTTTAACGTGTTTTTATTTACTTTAGTCCCCAGAACACGTCCCACTGAAGCCACACACTCTGTTCTAAGGTCACTGGAAATGTTTTCTTCTTCTTCTCTGGTTTTGTATCAAATAAGGTACCATTAAACTCATTTAAATCAAGTTTTTGGTACACATTTTGGGGGATTATTTTTCTTTCTCACTTTGAATTTAGGTCGTGTGAATGTGTCAGACAGCAGTGGTGAACCTTCTGAGGACGAGGACTTCACGTCATTCACATACGACACGATCGACTTCATTAGTTCATGTAACTTAAAGCAGGATTTTTACAGAAAGCTGCTTTACTGAGACCAACACGACTTGCCTGCTTGAAGTGAACCATGATGTCCTTGGAGAGCTCCATGTCCTTGAACATGCCCTCCAGCTTGCTGGTGAAGGCGGCCCCGCACTCTGCACACAGGGGGGTGAGGTCACAGCGGTCACGCATCATGGGGGTCAGCCCGCCCAGCGCCCCCGCTCCACTGGCTTACCGTGCTTTAGTTTCGACAGCATAGATTTTTCAGCATCGACGGAGGCACTTTTTCCAACAAGG